TAAAAATGAAGCAACACAAGACTATTTGTTAAGTCAGGGTATTAAGAGATATTGGGCAAGCGTGGGTATTTGGACTTGAGGTACAGATCAGCCATGATCTTATAGAATGGCAGTCTGGAGGGGCTGAATGGCCTACTCCCATTTCTATCTCCAAGTATCTTGTTTGACTGTGCTAACAGCAGCAACCTGGATTGATTATCCAGGTATAGGCGGTGCAGAGATTGAGAAAAGAGAGGGCGGGGGTGGGGGAGAAACTCTTCAAGCAAGCAAATAATGTCTCAAGTTTAAAAGTTATGCAATATAAGATGAGTAGTTTCTTAATTTCAGAAGGCATTGCAAAATTTACTGCTGCAGCTGAGGCAAGTGACAAAATAGCAAGATGTGGGTTTGATATTCAACATTGCTTATACAAGTTCCGGTCACAGGTTAGCCACTGGGTAGAATGTTTGAAAAAACTACAGTAATTATCAACCCTTCACATTTAAATCAAATGTCATAAACAGCATCCCAGCGGGGACTGGCAAAATAATCGCACCCTTGCGCCCAATTTGTCATTTTCTCTCCAGTTGTCCCCCACATCAGGTAAACTTCAGAGCTTAGGGTGGGGCAGTAGGTGACTCGCAAGCCTTGCTCAATGCCAATTTTCCGGAAGAAGTATATGTAGTAACAATGTGCGGCCATTTATTTAGTCATTTCATTTGTTTAAAGAAATTTTCCTTTCCTTAATTTGCATACTGTGACAACATAAACTAGATCCTGGTACGAGGTCGAGTAACATTTGATGCTTGTGACCAGCAAACATTTAGCCTGGGTTATGAAGAAAAAAATTACGGAATCTTTCTGTATAATACATTCAATGAAAACTGCAGAAAAGCATGTAATTAAGTGCTGTGGGAAACTACCCTGCATGAGAGTATTCAAAATATTTGGCGCAGATTAGCATGAGCCAACTTATTTTCTTATATATATATATATATACACACACATTATAATATATATGTGCATTTTTTTGTAATCTAGCATTCAAAGATGCGATTTCTTTCCCAAGTCTTGACAATCATCGACATCTTAGGAACCACTTCATAAAATAATACAGTAAACTCCTGATAACTCGTCACTCCAAGGATAAGAACTCAGTGACAAGTTATCTGGAGTAACAAGTTATGCGAAGGTCCTCCCAGGCCACAAGGGGGCCTGTGGCTGCTGTGGATGCTTGGTGGAGGTTGGGTGGACATGCTCAGATGCATCGCTAATGGAGGGCCGCCGTGGCATCCCACTCTATCCTGCCAGAGGCCTCTGTTCTATTGGAGGACTACACCATGGCCTCACTCCCTACTCAGTCACAGGATAGGATAGGAGGTGGCGCAGGAGGCCAAGGCGCAGTCCTCCAATAGACCAGAGCGCTTGGAGCATGCATCCCTTCCGATCGCACACACCAGTCCCACTCTCTGCCAAGCACCCACACTGGTCACAGTATAGGGTGGGAGATCTCTGCAATGCAAAGCACCATCTTATAGGACAAGTTATCTGATCGATTTTACATTGAAAGCACTTACAAAAAAATTCTAGAATAAGTGGAGTGACAAGTAAAGCAGAGTCCCTTATTAAATTAGACATGCCTCTGTTTATCTGTAGTAAGTAGGAACCCAGTTGTTAGTTGATAGGCAGATCGCTTTTCCGAGGGTAATAATTCCTTCAAAAAAAAATAATAAACTGGTCACTCAATCCATGACTGTTTGTGGGACACTGCTGTGCGCAATTGGCTGCCACATTTCGCCCATAAAATATACAGTCAATTCACTTTACAGTATATCCTGTGAAGCGCTTTGAGACGTCTCGAAGACGTGATAAGGCGCTATATCAAATGGAAGTATTATTATTATTAAGATTTTGCATGGGAAGCAGCTAGGATATTGACAGCATGGCAACTTAAGTGGTAGTGACTAGTTAGGCCAGGGTCGAGTTATCAAATATTTACTGTAAATAAAAGCAGACACCCAATTTCCATCCTTAGTCTGACTCAACTGTAAAGACTAGGATAAGTAAACTTTTACACATGGAGTTGATACATTTGCTGGCTCAAGAAATCCAGTCAAAATACAGCCCAGAAAAGCTTTTATCTTGATTTTTTAAACCCAAATTTTCTGAATCCAGAGGATTGGGATGTCCTCCCGACGTAAAAGGCACTTTAGAAATAGAATTTGTTGTTGGTGCTGCAAGTAGACATCACCTCTTGTTCTGGTTGAATGCCAATCTAGATTACATTTACCAAAAGAGGCAAGGTTAATTGGCCATTATTAACAAAAGAAACCTACACAATACAAAGCAACCTTTAATTGCTGGACACTGGAGTATTGATACGAGGTCATCAGTGCAGCTCCACAGTTGGAAATGGCTTCAAAGGAAAGGGCAGTTAGAACACAGGAAAATTACATCAATTTTTTTGTCTTCTCCCTGATCTACAATTCTAAATCCTAAACTACTTATTGCACTACAATTATATCTCTGGGATTAGCAAATACAAAGATTTTTTTAAAAAGTTTTATATTTATTCCATTCTGAATACTTGTACATGTGCCAGTGCGTTCCACACAAACCATACAAATTGTTGTGTGCCAGTGCATTCCACACAAACCATACGGATGGGCGGTTAAGTAGGATCAAGCTACCCTCCATACACAGGTCTACATTACAAAGCAGAAAGGTCAATGTCAGGAATGGAGGAGGATCTTCATTCCTACACACAGTATTTGATGACTAACACACTTTAAAACGATTAGATTCAGTCTGCAATGCAGATTAAGTCTTGTTAGAGCAAGTACATTAAATGCTGCTTATGATAATACTAAGTTGCACATTAAGCACAAGTTGCCTGCAATTTCATTTACCACCCCACTTCAAATCCCATAGAGCCAGAGTTTGGACTGTTGGTGGACTACACCATGATTTCAGTTTTCAATTGTTGAGAAAATGTGATTCTTTGTAAAACAAAAACAATTAAATGGCTGTAGGTCAACAATTAGTCGATGCTGTGGTTCATGTGAAAATAAAATTGCCCTTCACAGCATCAACCAACCATTTCAATATTTATTATTGTTACAGCTGGATGTTAAATGAAATCTTTTGACTAATATCAACTCAGTCTGCACCTACATTCATAACCAGCTTCATTTCCCTCAACAGACAAAAAAAATCACATTCAGCTCAGATTTAGGAGGGCAAATCACTCAGTTCATGTGCCTCGACCAGTGGTGGCCAACCAGTGGCCCATGGGGCCAGCAAGAAGTGGCCCCAAACATTTGCTCGAGTTTAGTTAAGTCCGTATTCGATCGGGAGTGTATTTTAATTTTTTTCTTGATTGAATATTTTTCGGCATTCAGAGCCTTGGGATGTATTTTGTTGGGTGACCATAAAAGTTGGCCCTAGAGCATTTAATGTTAACAGATATTTTGCAAATGTGCTTCTGAAGGATGGGTATAATTCCGCAGACACCAGCCATTCTCCAGTATCTCACCACATGGCAATTATTTAAGGGGTGGATTATTCAGCTGTTGTGAATATATCCTGTTCTCACATAGGTTTATTGGAATGAGAACCCTGGATGATTTGTCCCAGATCAAGGGTGTTAGACCAATTGTTGGTCTCCAACTGCTGCCTCACCTGTTCCAATTGTGAACAAGCTTGCAATTTACTATAGACAAGTGTTTCTACCTCCTAGACCATCAGGTACAGAAGTATTAATATCTGTAAATGTGCAGTTTTACATCAGATCTTTGGAAACAGCTTGATAAGAATTACAGGCATGGCAGTCTGGACAAAACAGCTGTAAATAATAATAATAATAATCCTTGCATTTGATACAGCGCTTTTCACGTCGGGAGGACGTCCCAAAGCGCTTCACAGAACACACTGTAAAGTGAATTGACTGTATATTTTTGAGCGAACACGGCAGCCAATTGCGCACAGCAATGTCTCACAAGCAGTCGTAGATTGAAAATAACCAATTTATTATTGTTTTTGGTTTTGGAGAGATTATTATTAGGCTCTGTGTGGAGTAAGGAAACTTGCCCAAGGTTTCGCCCTCTGCCTGGAACTGAACTCGGGTCTCTCACTTGCAAAGCGAGTGCTCTAACCACTGAGCTACAGGACTCCACTGGTTGGAGGCTTACAGGTTTGGTGAGTCAAAATCAGATTTGTTTTTCACAGCAGTTTGAATCTAACATTTTAAATCAAAACAAATCAACCCCAGCAGCCCATGGGATTCACTTTCAATAGATGTTCACTACTTTTAAATCTCAGGGCTATCTTCTGAGACTTAGTTGATGGGTAGAGGTGAACGTGAACAACATCTTGCATTTATATATTGCCATTTACGTGAGCAGCGTCTTGGAGAGTTTAGCAGTGGTAAAGCTTGACGCTGAACCGGAAATCGAGGGGGAAGACGATCATAGGCATTGTCAAGGAGGAAAGTCTTCAAGCGCTATTTGAATACAGGTAAGGAGGGGGCAGGGTGGAGATTGAGGCAGAGTTTCAGGGAGTTGTGGCTGAAAGCCCAGCTGCCAATGGTGGAGCAGAGGGGATGAGGGACGTATAGCTGACTCCATATTATAAATCCTTTGAGGTTTTTAAATCAGGGACGAGATTAAAAATATACCATCCAAAATGTGCAGTGAGCCCTGCAGAGCTGACATTAACAAGGCAGAAGTTCTAGATGGGCCTGTGGGACTCAAAAACAAATTAACTGCTTTCCCCTAGAATGCACAGAGATAAGGGAGATTTATGAGATATTCTGAGGACGTCAATCAACACCAGGAAGGCTCAAACTGACTGGATATTTGCGAATATATAAAAAAAACTGCTAGAATCATTCTAAATTGAGATCGGCGTTCAGACCATCATTAAACAAGTACAACTTGAAAGCTTTTCACTAGTTTATAAATTTGAAATCGAATCAACCTTACGATTTCTATTAGTGCATTTTAATACTTCCAAATTCTTACCTTATGCTGTTCTATTGCATCAATCCACTGTTGTCTGTGGTCAGGATCTTGAGCACGAAGGTACCACACACTATCATTTACACTGATGTCAAATCGGCATTCGTCAAACTCATGGGGCTGTTAAGAGAATTAATACATTATAAAAATCAGTGAGTATCAATATAAGGCTATGCAGGAAAGTTTAGATGGGAAGGCTAGTGAACATTTTTTNCCAAACTACAAAAGTGTCATTGGGTATATTAAGAGTTTAACCAATGTGTAAAGCAATATGATAGTTTAATTTTAACATTCACATTTCAAACAAAATAAATCAGTGATGACTGACAATTTATGTGCCTTTAAATAGGCACATAAATCAACGCCCTTGGACGTCTTTCCGACGTGAAGGGCATTATACAAGTGTAACTGTTGTTTAATAATTTTAACAGATCTCTTCCTACACTGTATAATGTAAGGGTTAAGCACTACAGTAAAAGAAATACCATAATCACACACATCCCAATCAAAACATTGCATGAACTTGTTGATTTGAACTACTGGTTTTCATGCAGGTTGCCTCGAAAAAAGAAAAGTCTTGTAGGATAGTTAACAGTCGAGACTCACAGCTCGTACCATGATAACGCAACCATGGTATCTGGCAGTGCTTGGATATGTTTATACCAGTTATTCTGAGCCAATTAATAAACTGAGCATGATCATTGCCTTGCCAGCTGAACAAACACACACAGGAATCCCTAGACAGCAATAAAGAGCATCATTCCTGGCTGATGTTTCCTTTTTCTAATGCAGGTAGCTGAAACTAACTATAGTGCTTCCACTGCTGCTTCTAAATAGCTCCACAGTAGTTCTACTGACTCCTTGAAGAACCTCCCCGTTGTGCAGAATTCTAACCACATAGAATATTTTAACTTCAGAAAGGTAGAGGCAAAATGTGTTATCAAGCTGTGAGTATGAGGAACCTTAACCTAGTGAGGTTGAGGACAAAGACAATGGAAATGTTTTTAAATAGATGTTCAAAACCATTCACAATAATGAAGTACTAAATCTGTCTGACAATCAGGTGTCATAATCCACCTTCAGTACTCTTTTTCCACTTCAGGCCCAGTTCCGTGAAACACCAAAAACAAATAATCATACAATCATGCATATTAAAGGCACGTAAATTGTCATCACTGATTTATTTTGTATGAAATGTGAACGTTAAAATTCAAGTGAAAAGTAGTATCCCGTTGTCAGCATCTTATTTGAGTGTAAATCCCTGTGCTATTTGTGGAATTTTGAGCAATGACTAAAAAACAGTCCCTACACGTGACAGTAACTCATTGAATCAGTTTAAGACATTTTGTAGTAGTAAAATGATATAAAAATGCAAGTTTTTTCAAACCAATCCAAGAACATCTCAATTGATGACAATTGAATCATTAATGTTAAATCTCAGTGCACTTCATTGCACATTTGACATTTTCTCAATTTGCTTGATTTCTCTTTTGCAGAGAACTATACTACTGAACAAACAATAGTTATTCAAAAATCGGGAGCTGATAAGTTTTTTATAAAACCAGAAATTCCCATCTCCGTTAAAAAAATCATTCACAAGAAATGAGTAACAGTGCATGCATGGCAGGTACTTTAAAGTAGGTCAATTTCAGGCAATTTTTTAATTCCGGAAAACAACGTTGATGTCAATTTGGTCCTTGGACACCTTACTTCTGATTTTCAATTATGTGCCTCGTCACAATTAGCCCAAAAGCTGTGCAATGCCATATATCTCCAAAAATGGAATTAAACTTGCTAAAATTTGTCATGTCCGAGCAGCTGTACTGAAATTAGCTCAGTTATTTTACATGACAAGCCTTAAATTTCCATGGTTTATGAAAAACTAGTTTGAAGATCTAGCCTTTTGTTATGTCTAGGCAGCAGCACTCCCCATCAAGTTAGCAGGGAAATCTTGATGGAAATACATTCAGAATTAGATTTTGAATAAATACATTTAGGTACTCAAAGATTGTGCAGATTTAATTTCATTTTAACCATTTTGTATAGAGTGCCAGCATCTGGGTCAGTTACTGGATTAGATACCATTTACTTTAACTCTATGTCTCAGCCTCCCATTTATTTGCACCCTCCTTTCTGTGTGACATTTACTAATTCCCACACCAGCTGTCCCTTGGCCGCTGAGATTATCAATTTAGTAACACTGACAGTTTCATCTTGTGAGCTAACAGCCACTCGGAACTGGGTTGAAAATTCCTCAATTTACTTCATATAGGAAATTGACTAAGGCAGACCAAGAGAATTGGTTTATGTATTTCCATTCTATAAATATCTCAGCATCATTCAGCCTGGCACAGCTTAGCACTCTCACCGCCGAGTCAGAAGGTTGTGGGTTAAACTCAGCATTGGATCTTTGAGCTCCTAATATAGGCCAGGGTGGTCCAACATTTTGGCTGCTGAGAGCTGGAGGCTAGACTTGAGAAATTTCATGGACCCCATAAGCAATATTTTATACAGATTGTGCAATCCTGTTGCTGGGCACAGCCCGAGGCCCTGGTGACCATCTCCTGATTGACCAGTGGCCTGTATTTGGTTGTTGGACAATGAAGTTGCAAATGGTTCCCAGCCGTGATGTGGCCACAGGCCCCCAATTGAAATACTCCAGTGCTGGGGAAGCGCTGCATTGTCAGAGACGCTATCCTTCGAGTGATATATTAAACCATTCAGTTGGAGGTAAAAGAACCTGCAGCACTATCCAAAAGACCAGGAACTTTCCCCCAGTTTCACAGCTAATAATCCTTCTGATATATTTGATGCAATTCAGGGTTATTTGTGAGATATTGCTGTGTGTGAATAGGCTAACCCAATCACCTACAAATAATAATAATCCTTACATTGGATATAGCACCTTATCACGTCTTCGAGACGTCTCAAAGCAACTCATAGAATATACTGTAAAGTGAATTGACTGTATATTTTGTGGGTGAAACACAGCAGCCAATATATATTAATATGTATATATATGTAGTCATGACACTTTACAGTAAAAGTCTGTAGAGTACTTCGAGATTTACAAAGAATGTACAACACGGAAACCGGACACTTGGCCCAACCAATCTGTGCCAGTGTTACTCCACACAAATCTTCACCCATTCCTCCCTCCCATACCCTGTTCCCTGATGTGAAGACCTAGTTTCCTCTTGAATGCATCTCCATAATCTGATTCAACACCACTTCAGGCAGTGAGTTCCACAATCTCACTGCCTTCTGCAGGAAGTAATCTCTTCTAAATTCTCTTTTAGATCCCATAATCCCTCTTATTTGTGTCACCTCATTACAAATTCCCCAATCAGTGGAAACAGCCTATTTATGTTAACCCTTTTATAATTTTAAACACTTCAATCAGGTGTTAAACATCTCTTGTCCAGCAAAAAAAAACCTAACCTATCAAGTCTATCCTGCCAGCCCTGGTACCATCCTCATAAATCTCCACTGTGGTCTTTCCCCTTGTCTATCTCCCTTGTATAAGCATTTTAAAATTTAGAGTCACTACAACAACAAAATTACATATGTATAGCGTCTTTCAGGTCGGGAGGACGTCCCAAGGTGCTGGACAGACAGTTACAGACCCAAGCTGAGGGTCGGGGTGACGGAGGGTGGAGAGCGGGGGGGTTAGGGGGGGAGCAGGGAGATCGAAAGCACGGTCGAAGAGGTGGGTCTTGAAGGTGGCGAGGGAGGGGGTGAGATGAAGGGACTGCAGGATGGAGTTCCAGAGGGTGGGTGTAATGTGGTGGAAGGCCCACTGAGTGTGAAGCAGGCTGGAGCCCATTGAGCGGAGGGAGCGAACAGGGTGGTAGGGGGTTAGGAGGTCAGAGAAGTAGGGGGGAGCAAGACCGTGGAGGGCTTTGAAGGTGATGACCAGGATCTTGAACTGTATCCTCCGTGTGATGGGAAGCCAGTGGAGTTGGGCAAGGATGGGGGTGATAGAGTCACGGAGCCTATTGTGGGAGAGGACACGGGCTGCAGAGTTCTGGATGATCTGCAGCCTGTGGAGGGAGGAGTTGGGGAGGCCAACAAGCAATGAGTTTGCATAGTCGAGCCTCGATGTAATGAAGGCGCGAATGAGGGTTTTGGCGGCCTACGGTGTGAGACAGTGGCAGAGCCGGGCGACGTTGCGGAGTGGGGGAAGGCAGAGTAGGTCATGGCCAGATGTGGAGTAGAAAGGATAGTTGAGGCTCAAATAAGACCCCAAAGTTCCGGACTGGCTTAGCAAGGTGGAGTGTGCAACCATGGATGGTGATGCAGTCAGTGCCTGAGGTGAGGAGGCACTGAAGGGAACCAATCAGGAGAGCCTCAATCTTATTGATGTTCAATTGAAGAAAGTTAGCTCTCATCCAGGACTTGATGTCCTACCCCTGAGGTTCTCCACCACGTTTAAATCCCTGACTTGCTCTGGCTCATTGCCCATAACTAGGTCTCTACTCTTGTTAGAGTTTCTATATATTGGGACAGAAAAAGAGTCCTGCAAACATTGCAAAAACTCCCCACCTTCTCACCTCCTACTCTCTCTGCCTATCTATCTGGGAATAATTGAAATCCCCATAATTATTACTTTATTATTTTTGCTCATCCCCCTTATCTGCCTGTATATTTCTTCTTCTACTTTTCCGTTGTTGGATGGCCTGTTGTATATCCCCCATTTCCAAAGGCAAGCAGGTCCTTGTTACAGGGCACTGCTTTGGACAACACAACCTGGCTCATCAGGAGGACTTGGAAGGGCAGACCAGTCACTGGGGGCAGGGACTCTTCCACTCAAATTCCCATTAACCCTGCAAGCCAAAGCCCTAACAGGTAACGGGCCTTGGTGGACAAGCAGTGTGAAAGCTTGCCAGACAGTGCTCTGAATGCCAAGCCATATGGTTTTAGTTGGTTAGACTCCAACAATTCCCCAACGCACTCTCTGGGTCCTCAAACATCGATTCTTTCCAACCTGCACCTAATACTTTCCTGAATTAGGCTAGCGGGCTGCGTCCCTCTAGGGAGAATGTACATTTCATTCTAATAAATATCTATGGAATTTCCATGTATAGGTGTGAAGCATGGAATTTTCAGTTTGGTTTGGA